CCCCTTCCCAACCCCACATCCCCCCAGTTCCGTTCCCCCTCTCACATGTCCCCTGTCCCCATCCGTTCCAACCCTCTCTACCTCGTTCTCCACCCTTCTCGCCCCGTTGACAGGCATCCAAAACCACGGTGGCGGGAGAAGAGGAGGAGGAGGAGGAGGAGGAGGAAGAGGCGGCCAAATGGTACTCTCACTGGCCGCCACGACAGGACCGTGGGTGGATCGTCGCCGTCGTCCGTCGTCCTCGTCCGTCGACGTCGTCCGCCCTCGGCGTCGTCGTCGCGGTCCGCCGTCCACGTCGGCGTCGTCGTCGCTCCATCGGCGTCGTCGTCGGCGTCGTCGTCGGCTTCGCCGTCGTCGGCGTCGTCCGTCGTCCATCCGCCGTCCGTCCGCCCATCCGCGCACCTCGGGGACGCCATGGCGCGACTGGGAGTCGAAATCCTCGGCGGCCGCGCCGCAGGGGGGCCCGGCGCCAGCGGCCACAGAAGGGAGGAGGACACTGATCTCAGGGGGATGATCCACGTCTGAGGGACCACCAGTTGAACTGGGAGGAGGGGGAGGGAAGGGAGGGAGACGGACCAGGAGGGACGAGGAGGGGGAGGGAGGAGGAAGGGGGGGAGGGGGGAGGGGGGGGAAGGGAAAGAAGAAGAAGAAGAAGAAGAAGAAACGGAGGAGAGGAACATGGGAGAAAAGGGGGGAGTCGGAGGAGGGTGGAGGAGAAGAAGAAGATGTAACGGGAGGGGGATACGATAGGGAAGGGAGGAGGACGAGGACGAAAACGAGGAGCACCCTCATCCTCCTCTTCCTAGTGCTCCCGCTTCCCTCAGTCCACCTCCTCGCCCTCCTCCTCCTCCTCCTCATCCCCACAATCCGCCGCCGTGCCTTCAGCATGTAGTGGAGGGCCCCGAGGCCCATACAGATGAGAAGAGTACTTGGACTACTGCGACTGTGGGACTCTTGAAGGTTAAGGGCGCAGACCACCAGTTTCCCTTGAATTCACAGGCACTGCTAGGAGCTCCTGGACGCTCACGGCGCTTACCTCGTGGTCATCGGGCACGCCAAACCTGCCCAAAAACCGACTCCCCCCCCACACAATAGCTTTCCAAGCATCGCTCGAGAAGGCCCTGGAACTCTCCGTCGCCTCGAAGGAATATCTCTGGGCTTTCTCTGGCGCCTCTTACTTCGGCCGTCATGGTGGCCTTGGGGACTCCCCAAGGAAGAAAGCCATGGAAAAGTATTGAACAACAGCCTTATGCTGCTTCAATGCTTTGAGCTTCCTCGCCTCTTCGGCACCAAGAGCGCCCAGGGCGACCGAACAAGGCCCACAAGGTAGCCCCAGGACGGCCTCCGAAGCCCCAATGGGGGCCCCCAAGAGGCCCCCGAGATGGCCCCAAGAGGGACCCAGGAGGGGGAGCATGAGTTGATGTTGGGGGGCCCTCCACCCCAACATGGTCACCGAGACCGACTTCCAGGTCCCAAAGGAGACGCCCAAGAGGCACCCAGAGGCTTCCAAACAGGGCCCCCCGGGGCCAGGCGGCCCCCAGGCCGCCCCGTGGCCCGCGGAGGGCTGCGTGGCGCGCGAACGGTCAGAAGTCTGTTTGGCCCTTCCGGGATCGACTGCACGCAAGAGTGGCAAGAGTTATGTCGGGCGTGTCCCCCTACAGGGGGATCTTCGACGAGAAATAGAAAATACCCTAATACCCAAAAAATAGTCTCCAGACTATTTTTGGACTATTTTTGGACTATTTTGGGGGTATATTTTTTTTTTCGTCGAAAATCCCCCTGTAGGGGGACAGGCCCGCTTGAGGCAAGAGTGACCTTTGGTGCGCGGATTGGACGGGGCCGCGGGTAGGCCAGACCTTGGCGCGCAAGCCGCTGCTGCCGCTTCGCGTTCGGCGATCGGGGGACCCCAGTGGGCCCGCACCGCAGGTCACTCCAGCGAAGGGTCACTCTTACGTGTAGTCGACAGACGCTTCCCAGTGGCCTCCGGCCCAACCCGCTGGTCACTCTGAAACCAGGGAAAAGGAACAACGCTCCCTCCTCGAAGACGCCCAAGATGGCCCAAGTCAGCCTCCACGACTACCCAAGGCGGTCTAAGATGACCTCCAAGACTGCCCAGGATGGCTCAAGAGGCCTGCAAACTCGCCCAAGTTGACTCAAAGACGGCCCAAGACGGCCCCAAGACGGCCCACGACGGCCCCAAGACGGCCCAAGAAGCCTCGAAGACGCGCCAAGAGGCCCCCAGTTAAGAGCACCTCTAGAAGAGACCCAAGAGACCAGAATGACTGATTGTCCTGCAGTTCGAATGGATTGCCGTCTCCTCGCCTTGTCGGGTTTCCGAAAGCCCAAGACGCTCCCAGAGGCCCCCAAGATCGCCCCAACACGGCCCGAGTCCCCGGAGATGGCCCCAAGACAGCCCAAGATGGCCACGAGGCGGCCCCAAGACGACCCCAAGGCGGCCCAAGATACCCCCAAGACAACCCTAAGCCCAAGGGCGGTCGAAGAGAGGCACCCCGAAAACGGTCCAGATGGGCCCCCGAAGACGGTCGCCGAAGGCGCCGGACGGCCAGAGATCTGCCGTGAAGTCGTTTGCCCGACGGATGAAACTTGGCGGTGAGGTCCTCAAGCTTCTGAGAGAGGTACAGCAGGAGCTGAACCACAAGAAACCTTCCACGAGAAACACAACTCTGGAACCCAAGGACGTCCATTGATTTTTTGGTGTGGGGACGTCACGCTTTCCACCGTAGAACCATCGAAACCCAAGAAACACAGGGCACCTGGAGGCAAGCAGGGTGTTTCTTGGCATGGGTCTTCACTGTATGCGCAACGCGGTTCCATCTTATCACCATCCTTGTTTCGGCGAGCTTCCTCCTGCTCTACCTGCGCCACGAGCTGGCTGGGCGGAGTGGTGGTGCTGTTTTCTTCTTGGACGGCTGCCCGAGTCACCTCGACGCCTGCACGCACCGCTGGTGGGAATCGTTCATCACGTTTGCCGCCGAAGAAATGTGAAAGCCAATGGAGGTCGTCCAAGGGGTTGGCCACGCAGGCGCTGGGCCGAATCGAGCTCAGCTGGCAGCAACCACCTGACATCTCCTACCCCCCTCTGCCACACCAACTTGCCCCCAGAGTCACGAGGACGGAAATCACGCATGACAGGAAGAACACCACAGAAGTGGTAGCAGATCCTGAAATACGGTGGCTTTTTCTTGCGCCCGCAACTGGGTCAGATCTGACCCAGGCCACCGCCATGGTTCCGCTCGTGACGTCCACCTCCACCGCGATAGCACATGCGATCTTGGTAGGGATACCTACCCAAACGGATGAACGAAGGACGGAGCATCTTGACCTGAAACGATCTCGGGCGCGGCTAGATAATTGAACCAAGTGTGCCGAGGGTCGTGAAATTGCTGTCCTGGCAAGCTGCCTCGAGAGATGACAACTTGAGGCGAAATCGACTGAACCAAATGTTACGTCCTCCTCCTCCTCCTCCTCATCATCACCATCATGAGCACCAACAACAACAACAAACAACGACCACAACCACAATGGCAACATTAAATGCCTCCGCATCATCATTATCGTCATCATCATCAAAGCAGCATCATGATCATCATCAGCAGCAGCATCATTCCTTATTACAACCATGATTACAACCACGATGGTAACAATGAAGATACGAGTAAGGATAATCAGATAGTTAATGGTAAGAACAAGAAAATATTAGCATTAACCATCATACTCGCAATCAGAATACGTAAACAAAATAGTGGCAGTAACAACAATAACACAGATCACGGCATACTCCGAATGAGGAAAATAACAACAGTGGCAATTAGTATACAATTTATGGTAGTGATGTCACGTATGAAGTTAAGAGTAAGAATGATGTGAATCATAAAATGATAATACTGGTACAAGAATGCAACGTATAATGAAGCTCCGAATAATGATACTACTAAGCATAAACGTGATGATGCTACGAATAAGCACAAACGTGATAATGAATACTACGACGCATAAACGTGATAATAAGAGCAATAATAATAAAAAAGAATGGTAATCATACTAGAAATGGGCACCATCATCATCAGCAGCATCATCATCAGCTCCATGTTCATCATCAGCATCATCATCATCATCATCAACAAAAGGATCATCAACATCAGCATCATCATCAGCATCATGCTCATCCTCTTCATCTTGATTATCATCATAATCATCATCATCATCCTCATCATCATCAAAATCATCATGAGCATCATCATCAGCATCATCATCATTAGTATCACGATCACAACCATGACCACTACCATCACCACCACCACCAACTCATCATCATCAGCGCCATCATCATCGACAGAATCAGCATCGTCATCATCCTCAGCATCGTCATCATCATCGTCATCAGCATCATCAGCATCGTCATCGTCATCGTCATCGTCATCTTCCTCGTCACCATCACCACTACCATCACAATCATCATTACCATCACCATCATTATCTTTCTTGCTCCACACCTCCTCCTCCTCCTCCTCCTCCTCCTCCTCCCACTCCTCCTCCTCCCTCCTCCTCCTTCCCGCGCCTCCTCCTCCTCCTCCTCCTCCGTTAACCAACGAAGACCCTCCTGGCACGCCCAAACACCGCACTGTAACCTTCCTGGAAGTCCTAACCACCCCCCTTCTCATCATGGTCCTCCTCATTCTCCTCCTCCTCCTCCTCGTCCTCCTCCTCCTCCTCCTCCTCATCATCCTACTCTTTCTCCACTTCCCTCCTCGTGCCCCTTGCACACCTGCGCCTGTCTGCTGGTGTTGCCGCTGCTTCTCGCGCCTATTGTAAGACGAAGCCAGGACGAGGATAAAATCGGATGAGGATAAATCGACGGCTCTGGAGGATGTCTCGGGCGCCGCGGCCTTCTCAGAGCGTTCCGGAACGCTCTGTTCCGGAACGCTCTGGAACGGATCATCCTCGTCCCAGCCCCGTCCGAAAGAACTCAGTTCTCTGATCGACGTGGCATGGTCGAGCTTCTATCAACCTCCGACTCATGCCGCCTCCTGCTTTCGATCAGACAAGGTCGAGACACAATCGGGTCGGGACCAGTCAGGGGTCTCTGTGGCCCCGGAGGATGCCTCGGGCGCCGCGGCCGTTCCAGAGCACTCCAACACGCTCTGAGAGCGTTCCGGGACGCTGTGAAAGGATCTATCCTGGTCCTGGGCCCGCACGCAGCACTCCGCCCTCTGCTGCTCCTCCTCCTCCTCCTCCTCCTCCTCCTCCTCCTCCTCCTCCTCCTCCTGCTCCTCCTCATCAGCAGCAGCAGCTGCAGCAGCAGCTTCAGCATCATCGTCATCATCATCATCATCATCATCATCATCATCATCATCATCAGCGTCATCATCATCATCATCATCATCATCATCATCATCATCATCATCAGCATCATCGTCATCAGCATCATCATCATCATCATCATCATCATCATCATCATCATCATCATCATCATCATCATCATCATCATCCATCATCATCAGCAGCAGCAGATGCAATATCAGCATCATTATCATCGTCATCATCATCAGCATCATCAGCAGCAGCATCATCAGCATTATCATCATCAACGACATCATCATTATCACCACCACAGCCACCATCACCGTCATCATCATCATCAGCCTCATCATCATAATAATGAGCATCATCATCATCATCATCATCATCATCATCATCATCATCAACATCAACATCAACATCAACATCAGCATCATCATCACCATCCTCATCATCATCATCCTCATACTGCTAGTCCTGCTACTCCTGCTACTCATCTTGCTCCTCATCCTGCTACTCCTGCTAGTCCTGCTAGTCATGCTACTCCTGCTACTCCTGCTCCTCCTACTCGTTCTCCTCCTCCTCCTCCTCCTCCTCCTCCTCCTCCTCCTCCTCCTCCTCCTCCTCCTCCTCCTCCTCCTACTCCTCCGCGTCCTCCGCCTCCTCCACCTCCTCCTCCTCCTCCTCCTCATCCTCATCCTGCTCCTCCTCCTCCTCCTCCTCCTCCTCCTCCTCCTCCTCCGTTCTCCCCCTCCTCCTCCTCCTCCTCCTCCTCCTCCTCCGCCTCCTCCTCCTCTAGTTCCTTATACATACTTCTCCCTGTCGCACCCCGAGGCCAGCTTTTAGGGCGGGCCGGGCGTTTCGCCTGAGACTTTCTCAATATGCATGATTCTGAAGCCTAATGAAAAGTGGCAACAACTTCATAGATAGAGGGCGGGTGGTTTTCAAAATGTGGCTCTCGCCTTAGCGCCACGCACATTCGTTTTAAACATGTGCAAGAGTTTCACGGATTGAGGGCGGGTCGTTTTCAAAATGTGTCTCTCGCCTTAGCGCCGCGCACATTGGTTTTAAACAATTGGAAGAGCTTCACGGATTGAGGACGGGTCATTTTCCAAATGTGCCTCTTTCCTTAGCGACGCGCACATTGGTTTTAACAAATTGGAAGAGCTTCACAGATTGAGGACGGGTCGTTTTCAAAATGTGGCTCTCGCCGAAGCGCCACGCACTTTCGTAATAAGAAAAATGCAACAGTTTCACGGATGGAGGGCAGTTCCTTTTCAAAATGTGGCTCTCGCCTTGGCGCCGCGCACATTGGTTTTAAACAATTGGAAGAGCTTCACGGATTGAGGACGGGTCATTTTCCAAATGTGCCTCTTTCCTTAGCGACGCGCACATTGGTTTTAACAAATTGGAAGAGCTTCACGGATTGAGGACGGGTCGTTTTCAAATGTGGCTCTCGCCGAAGCGCCACGCACTTTCGTTTTAAAAAATGCAGAAGTTTCAAGGATGGAGGGCAGTTCCTTTTCAAAATGTGGCTCCCGCCTTAGCGCCGCGCACATTCGTTTCGTATTGTTGGGAAAAGTTCACGGGATCACATGATCAGCGTACCAGAAATTATGTTTTTGAAAAAAATATGCGGGTGTAACAATTATGTTATGTTGATTCGCCGTGTTTTGGCATGCTTCAGGGTCTTCAAGTGCGTCTTCCAACGAGGCAGTTCCCTCAGTGGAAATGAACCGTTGTAGGGGCCTATGAAGAGGAAGCTTGGAAGGAGGATTATTCCAACATCGTTGATGACTCTGGTCCACCACCTCCTCTTCCTCCAGGACAATCTGGAGCGACCTGTCCTGTCCTTGGGCCCCCCCGACGCCTGTCTCTCGTTCCCCATTCCTGCACTTTGCGTGGCCGGGGCGCGGCGGCGGTGGTCCCTGCACAGCTGCAGCGCAGACGGGGGCCTCGCAGATAATGAAGAGGAGGAGGAGGTGAAGGAGGAGGAGATAGAGGAGGACGACGAGACACGAAAGATGAGGAGGAGGAGGAGGAGAAGGAGGGAGAAGGGGAGGATGCGAAGGAGGCAGAACGAAGAGGGGCCTAACTTGAGATGTCTTGGAAAGTTTGGGGGTCTGGGGAAAGAGCCGCCAATCTTCATGGCGGGCCTAGTGGGGGATCCAGAACTGATCG